TCTCTCTCTCTCTCTCTCTCTCTCTCTCTCTCTCTCTCTCTCTCTCCTTCCCTCCTTTCCTCTTCCATTTCAATAGGACTTTGGGAACTGAATCTAGAGCCTTTCATGGTTCATGCAATTTCTCTACCACTCAACTACATTCCCAGGTAACTCACCAGCGTCTTATGATGCGATCGGGAAGCGCATTCAGCGAACATAACTAATATTCAGAAACACCTGTGCTCTCAATACATTTCAGTGATTTTTCTGAAAATGTTCTTTGTTGTTACATAAAAGCTACAGTGTGCCACATACATTAAAAAAAAAAAAAAAATGCAACAGCTCCGAACACTTCCTAGTCACAGTCAGCTTTCTTCATCCTACCTTCAGACTTTGTTCCATTGATGAACTAACTCTCAAAAAGTCATAGTTTTTGAGGCCAGCTCTCCAGGCTTCATTCCATGTTTTTATTTTGAAACTCTTTGTGTCCCCATTGATTTCCTCCACTGGGGAGAATAACTAAGTGCCAAATTCAAGATTTCCAGACGAGTCAAACCTGATGGTCTAAGAGACTCATTTCCCTTTTCCCCTTTGGTGAATGAGCCAAGGGCCGCCTCAGCTAGTCAGCGAGACTTGGAGCTAATGAAATGTTCTTGGCAGGCGAGGGTGTTCCCCGGGCCTGCAGGATGGAGACTCTCCCTGGCATTGTTTCTGGGCTTGATATATTTATTATTTAGGGAGCTCAGACCTCTGACTTGCTTGGGCTAACCCTTAAGGACACAGTATGACGTCAACATCATGCATGCTTTCCATCCAAGTTCAAAGCTGAGAAACGATTATCTTTAGACGCATTGTATGTGGGGTGTAGGGGGTATATGGGTGTGTGCTGGGGATCAAATCTATGGTCTTGCATGTGACAGATAAACACTCTATCACTACTGAGCTATATTCCCAGCCTGGCTTCAGACTCTTGAATGTTAAGAATCAAACTGGCCGGGCGGTGGTGGCGCACGCCTTTAATCCCAGCACTCGGGAGGCAGAGGCAGGCGGATCTCTGTGAGTTCGAGGCCAGCCTGGGCTACCAAGTG